TAGAACCAGTAGAGTACAGGTAGTGTAGGAAAGCAAAGTGAAGATTTGTGGCCCGCCCTGAGTCCCAGGTTGGGAAGAGATCCCTCTTCCTGGCAGAGACTGAACTCATTCTGTCCTGACTTCCTTCTATCTCATGGTATAGCATGAAATACACAATTAGCTAATTCACGCGTTACAGAAAATCTCGACTGAATTGGACTGTTTGTAGAGATGATATAGAACTTTAAGAATGAGACAAACCAAAATACCCAGTCACTGAGGGTTAAGGTGAAAGAGAAGAAAGGAAGTGTTGTGGTCAGTTCATGGATTGACAGACAGTTTGAGGCTTATTTGCCCTTCGTTCTTCGTCTTTGTTTCTCTTGAAAATCATAGCTTAATGTCATAGGAAGAGTGAAGACATCCTGGAGACAGGGAAGAGGAGGAGACGTGTGTAGTAATGTCAGTCTTTGAAAAAAGGTTAAACTCGTTATGGCTTAAGCGTCCTCGACCTTAGGTAAGATCAGTTCCCATGCAGACAAGGTGTAAGCATTGCATTCAGCCATTCATGTGGGAATATTCAGGTATTATTTTCTGTCCATTTGTACACACATCGGTGGTGCAAGGTTATAGGAACAGATACATTCCATACACACATACATATATGCATGTGTATATGCTTATACATCCATACAGATAATCACACAAATAAAACTACATGGTTTCATTATTTTCTATATTCCAGAGGCGAGAGCAGTCTGCTATCAAAGATGTGACATTGCAATCTGCACATCCTGCCATCTCTTCAAGCCGAGATGCGGCAGCACAGGTTGAAAATATTGATATTCTGCAGAATGCCTTTGAAAGAACTGGTATTGTCTTCACTCCAGAACCAACACTGACATTCACACCCTCACCGGATGCCACTGCACATGAGGCAGTAGACGAAACTAAATCTAGTACAGCTGCACTTTATACTACAAGGGATGCACCATCCACATCTGACTCCACTATTGGCACCACAATAAAGGCAACTACACTTTCCTCTTCCACTGGTAGCAGCCCGATGTATACAGCTACATCTTCCACTGTAGATGTAACTACATCTGCCTCCCCCACTGGTGGCAACACAATAGATGCAACTACAACTACCCCTTCCCCTGTAGATACAACCGGAAGTAGCACAGCAGATGCAACTACAACTACCTCTTCCACTGTAGATGCAACTACATCTGCCTCCCTCACTGTAAATGTAACAACAACTACCCCTTCTCCTGTGGATGCAACTACGTCTGCCTCCTCCACCGGAAGTAGCACAGCAGATGCAACTACAACTACCTCTACCGCTGTAGCTGCACCTACAACTACCTCTTCCACTGTAGATGCAACTACAACTACCTCCCCCACTGTAGATGCAACTACAACTGCCTACCCCACTGTAGATGCAACTACAACTACCTCTTCCACTGTAGATGCAATTACAACTACCTCTTCCACTGTAGATGCAACTACAACTGCCTACCCCACTGTAGATGCAACTACAACTACCTCCCCCACTGTAGATGCAACTACAACTACCTCCCCCACTGTAGATGCAACTACAACTACCTCTTCCGCTGTAGATGCAACTACAACTACCTCCCCCACTGTAGATGCAACTACAACTGCCTACCCCACTGCAGATGCAACTACAACTACCTCTTCCGCTGTAGATGCAACTACAACTACCTCCCCCACTGTAGATGCAACTACAACTACCTCTTCCGCTGTAGATGCAACTACAACTACCCCTTCCACTGTAGATGCAACTACATCTGCCTCCCCCACTGTAGATGCAACTACTGCCTCCTCCACTATTAGCAGCACAGCAGATGCAACCACAACTACCTCTTCCACTGGTGGCAGCACGGCAGCTGCAACTACATCTGCCACATCCCCAACTGCCACCACAGAAGACACTTCTACAGGAGCACTTACAACCGGTACAACTACTAAGGGCACAACAACTGCAGCTCAAACATCTGACAAAACCACCTCAGACAGTACTACTAGCACAGCTATGCCTGATTCAACAGCTGGTAGTTCTACCGAGACAACACTCATGACTGATCTAACAACAAACACATCAGACGGAACTACTACACCCATGGTAACCACAGGTATACCTTCACTTTCATCTAACTCAACCCTCGAGACAACCGTTACAGTCACAACTACACCCGCAATTACCCCAAGTCCTTCTAGCACTACCAGGCAGACGACAACACCCCTTCTTCCCACAACGACAACCGTTCGACCCACCCATGCGTCTGGGAGCTCCTCTGCGACCACACGCCCAGCTGTCACAACGCTGACTTCCACAACTACTAGCCCAGGATCTTCCGGTCCTTATGGATCATTAAGTGCAGATGCTGTTGTTGGGATAGTAATGGGGTCACTGTTTGGCGCAGCTTTTGTAGGTGCTGGGATATTCTGGATACACTTGCGGAGAAAACAGTTGTTCCAACGATGGTTTAAGAAGTAA